GCATGAGGTTAAATAGCATCCTGTGATATATATATATATATATACGTAGTAGACCATAAATACAATTGCATCAACAAAGGTATTATGAATATTAAGAAATGTATCTTTTTTTTTGGATACCTGGCTCACACAACGGTAGGGGTATACCCTCAATCAGACTTAAACTTCGTTAGATATGCCCATAAATGAATAGGGGCAGGAAAGCAAGTATGAGTATTCAAGCCCACAATGTTCCACATGTTTTACTTTCTGCAGACATTTGTTATACGATGGTTGTTTAAATAACCTAACATACTGTAAATTATTAAAGATGGGTCCTTGTGGTTGATGAGTAAAACTTACCTTATGAGGTTATTTCAGCCTCAACAACGTAAGCATAACAATCAGTTAAACAGTAAGCAGCTAACGAAACACAGGTGAAATTCACAAAAAAAAAAATACTAGTGATATAAAAATCTTTACAATCAACGACATAAATCAAGTATTGTTGTGTCCGTTCGCCATCTTTAATAGCTGCTGCACGAAGAGGTGTTTTCACGCATGCGTGTGACTACTGCGCATAGATTGATTAATCCAATGGTGTGAATTTTAGGTGTAAACGAAGCATGATACATAATCTTTTAACTTTAGAAAAATAAAATAAAATAATTACTTGTTAATAGCTCCAGTTATGATTTTAATATTTTTTTTATTCAGATTTATAAAACAATATGGCCCTTCACTAATACAGCTCAGTGGTAATCTTATAACGCTAAAATTCTGGGTTCGTTACCCGCGGTGTGTGTAGCTTTGCGCTTAAAAGTCAAATAAAAAATGCGTTTATCTTTATTGCAAAATAATCCAAAATATTGATTTAAGTTACGTTAACCATTGTTCGCTTTCATACAAAGCTACACAATAGGCTAGCTACGCTATTTTAACCACGGGGAATGGAGCCTCAGATTTGATTGTTGAAAATCCATAAAGCCATAGTTAACATTCATTAAAAATAAGATTAACCATATTATTGTTAGCCTGTTAAAACCGTATTTTTCGTAGAATTCTAAAATGCACATACGTTTGCCTATTTCTATTTCTTACTGGCATCACGACTACTGTATTATTATTATTATAGGCTAATCTCCATGGCTTATGGACAGATTGGAATGATCCAAGCAGCAGCTGGCTTCTTTGTATACTTCGTTATTATGGCTGAGAACGGCTTCTGGCCATCAAAATTGATTGGAATTCGTAAGAGGTGGGACTCAAAGGCTGTAAATGATCTGGCTGATTCGTACAATCAAGAATGGGTATGATACAGTAGCTATTTGACTTGATGCTCAATTATCTGTTGATCAGTTAAAAAAATTAATAATTATCTGCTTATGTGGTAAAGAAAACATTAAATAATTACAGTCGAATAATAAATTTAAAAAAATATTATAATTACATTAAACATCAGAGAAATCAGGATGTTTTGATGTAACTTATGTTTATCAATGCAGATATGAATGTCATGTCAACAGACTGTTGCTATGGAGACTTCTCCAATACAGATATGAATGTCATGTCAACAGGCTGTTGCTATGGAGACTTCTCATTTTGGGACTTCTGACATTTCTTTATATTCAATTATAGTGTTTTAAATGTTTAGAAATAGAAAAATACGCTGAGAGAAACTCCTGTTTTTCCTCACTCTTGTTGTTTAAACATATCGCCGTTTTTCCTTACTCTTCTTGTTTAAACATATCGCTGTTTTTCCTTACTCTTCTTGTTTAAACATATCGCTGTTTTTCCTTACTCTTCTTGTTTAAACATATCGCTGGTTTTCCTTACTTTTCTTGTTTAAACATTTTGCTGTTTTTCCTTACTCTTCTTGTTTAAACATATCGCTGTTTTTCCTTACTCTTCTTGTTTAAACATATCGCTGTTTTTCATTACTCTTCTTGTTTAAACATATCGCTGTTTTTCCTTACTTTTCTTGTTTAAACATTTCGCTGTTTTTCCTTACTCTTCTTGTTTAAACGTATCGCTGTTTTTCCTTACTTTTGTTGTTTAAACATTTCGCTGTTTTTCTTTACTTTTGTTGTTTAAACATATCGCTGTTTTTCCTTACTTTTCTTGTTTAAAAATATCGCTGTTTTTCCTTACTTTTCTTGTTTAAACATATCGCTGTTTTCCTTACTCTTCTTGTTTAAACATATCGCTGTTTTTCATTACTCTTCTTGTTTAAACATATCGCTGTTTTTCATTACTCTTCTTGTTTAAACATATCACTGTTTTTCCTTACTCTTCTTGTTTAAACATGTCGCTCACTTGGCATTTTCTGGCACGTGTTTGTTCATATCATCAGATAACTTTTATCACGAGATTCCATTGTGAGATTTGAGCTAGAATACCCTGTGTGCAACACCATATAAAATTATAGTGCCGACTATGGGGATAAACGATAGAAAGATGAACACATCGTGAAATGTATACAGAACACAATTACCCTGTTCATCGTCAACAGTGTCATTGTGACGTTACTGTTACCCTGTTTATCGTCAACAGTGTCATCGTAACGATCTCATTACCCTGTTTATCGTCAACAGTGCTACTGTGACAGTGTTATCCTGCACATCTTCAACAGTGCTACTGTGACAGTATTACTCTGCTCATCATCAACAGTGCTACTGTGACAGTGTACCCTATTGATTGTCAACAGTGCTACTCTGACAGTGTTATCCAGCACATCATCAACAGTGCTTCTGGGACAGTGTTACCCTGCTCACCATCAACAGTGCTACTGTGACAGTGTTATCCTGCACATCATCAACAGTGCCACTGTGACAGTGTTATCCAGCACATCGTCAACAGTGCCACTGTGACAGTGTTATCCTGCACATCATCAACAGTGCCACTGTGACAGTGTTACCCTGCTCATGGTCAACAGTGCCACTGTCACAGAGTTATCCTGCTCATCATCAACAGTGCCACTGTGACAGTGTTATTATCCTTCACATCATCAACGTATAAATTTTATGCCCTTTCTATTATCTTACCCTTCTTTGTTACAAAGTTAAGCTGTGATAATAATTACATGGTAATGTGTCCCTTATGTTCTAAATCTTTCTTTATTCTTCTCTAGACTTACCACGACCGGAAGATTCTGGAATACACGTGCCACACGGCCTTCTTTGCTTCCATCGTTATCGTCCAGTGGGCCGACCTCATCGTCTGTAAAACAAGACGGAACTCTATCCTTCACCAAGGAATGAAGTAAGCCAGAGGTTTCATTGTATTAAACTACAGCTTAACAGGTGGATAATAAGATATTGATTGTTATCTATATCTTACAGACATTAATAACCACCATCATTCCATTCAGTAGCTAGAGATGGATGGGATGATCGGATGTTATACTTAGTATATATTGCATCCTCTACCCCTGTAGACCTGTTTTGTCTGCCATGATCGTCAGTTCGGCAGTAAAATATTTTTTATGAGTGCTTTGTGTTTTTTTTACAACATGTTTATCCTGTCTTTAACTCACTGTCATGTAAACCAGACACATTTTTCAGGTTATTATGTAAGTAAATCTTTCATTACTTAGAGGATTTTATTCAAGCTAACATATCTAAGGTAAGAGCTATATGGAATTACTGAATGGTAGTTTTACGATACATGTAAAAATAAAGTTAAAATGTCGAGTAAAACAGTCTCGAACTTGGCTCACACTTTTAAAGCACGAAAAGAACAAAACGTTATTCTATTGATAATTAGCAAAAGATATAATATTAATTTATTAGATGGTTTCAGGAACACTTTCCGATTGGCTATTTATAGACTGACCACATCTAGTTAGTTATGCAATTAAATTACATCCTACAGTTAATAATCACATGTTGCTGAAATATACATATCAAGTTTAATGGCAAATATTTATATTGTTATTATACAGTTAAGTAAAAAAATGGGCCGGGAATAGCGTAGTTGTTAACATTTATATAAGAAAAAAAATAGTCAGTGTAAACTTAAACTAACGTTTATTTGTTACAGATCAATGTTGAAAAAACCTTATTTATACTTACTAATTATATCAGTTTTAAGGGGAAAAACTTTATTTATACTTACTAATTAACATCAGTTTTAAGGGAAAAAACTTTATTTATACTTACTAATTTACATCAGTTTTAAGGGAAAAACTTTATTTATACTTACTAATTTACATCAGTTTTAAGGGAAAAAACTTTATTTATACTTACTAATTTATATCAGTTTTAAGGGGAAAAACT